TCGTTATTCTTTTTTCTGTTTCTTTGTTGTTCGTTGGGATTTTTTATATCTTAGTACGTATCTACGTAAACTTCGCAAGTGCTTTACTATAATAGGTAGTATGTCTTGATACCTCTTATAATAGCATATCTGCGTCTTCACCTGTATCTACATTTACATCTGGGAATTGAATCTGAAGCCTTGGGCTCCGCCAGGGCTCTGCCTAGCAAGATATTTTTTCCTCACGGTAACGCGGGCATAACCGGTGGCAGAAGGTAATAAAAACAAACAAATATATAAGTACGTAGGTACTTAAGGGTAGCCTTAGGTTGGTTCACACTTGTGTTAACAATCGCATAAATAAATGGAAACAATTTTACTAAATTAGGTATATATTAAAATACATAAGTTAAAATACAAATCGTATTTAGTCTGTTTTACATTAAACGAACCATATTTTTTATAACAGAAATCAAACGTCCCTTTCCACATTACCATTCATTTTTCGAATCCTCTATTTATTCTTTTTTTAAATACCCCGCCTTTTACCAGCCAACGTCATTTTGATAGATAGATATCTTTGTGGTGCCTTAGTTCGTGTCAAAGGAGTTTCTTATTCTAAAATATTTGTTGTTGTCTAAAATGTTTGTATTGTTTATGGTTTTGAAAATAAAAAAAATAATAAGGTTAAACAACCACAAATACAATAAATAAATTGTTAACACTTGAAACCACTGAACTTGCAAGATGATGAAAAATAGGTTTATTATCCCTTTATTTATTTTCTTTACGTGACTAGCATATTTTTAAATATTTGATTAGTTAGCTAAATATAAAAAAAAAAAAATCATTTTAAAATATGAAAAGCAGTAGCCCACCAGTAACCGGAGAAATCCAATCAGGGCTCCTGAGAGAGGAATCTTCGGACAATACGCGCTGTGTCCAGAAGTACTGCTTTCTGCATCAGGCCCTTGACCCGACCATCTAACGCTAGCCTACTCAGGTGTTGGTCGAGGCTTTTAGCAATGAGGCCATTGTCAGATACGACTATCGGCACAATGACTGCTGAATCCACATCCCACATGTCAACAATCCCATGAACTATGTAAATCAAGATGGTTATGTACTTGCTTTAGCTTTTTCAGTTTTCACGTTATTCTTGTTATGTGGGTATATCAATCAATTATAATAGGGTAGATGCCTAATTTTTTTTTTATTTTAATGTCCGTCTGTTAGATTATTTGAAATCATTAGACACGTATTTTTAATTTTCTTACAGAAACGAATACTTTCGACGATATATTGATTTGAAATGTCGCGTGACGTCACTTCTATGTACATTTTATACGTAGAAATGACGTTTTAGAGCCCACTCCTAAACTTTGATTCGTTTTTTCTAGGTATTGGTTTATTATACGACAAAATAAAAAAATACGTGTCTAATATATTTTCATTACCTAACTGATGGACTAATTAGATTTTTAATTTTCATACCCTGTCATCATACCTATTGTGTGACGGTTTCATCGATCTATCGCTACAATAGGTTTATTATTATTATCTATAACAAGATAATGCCTAACTCAATAAGTGGGTTCGATTTCAGTCCAATGCAAATCTTTGTAATCCTGTCAAAGCCTTTGGAGTACGGTTAAGCAATATTGACACTTCGGCTTATGAGATTAAGTTATTTATTCCTTTGAGGTCGTAAGATGGATTTATTTGTGTTTAAAATGTTAAGGAGTTTGTTTGATTTTGTATTATTTTAGAGATAAATTGTTTAATTTTACCTTTATATTGAGGGTTCCAGGTTCGATTTGCAACTACACTAAAATTAATCTTATATCTTATACTATTATTATACTATTATATGTATAAAGCGGAAGAGTTTGTTTGTTTGTTTGTTTGAACGCGCGAATCTCCGTAACTACAAGTCTGATTTGAATAATTCTTTTGTGTTGGATAGTGCATTTATCGAGGATGGCTATAGGCTATAAAACATCACGCAACGACCAATAGGAGCTGAACAGAGCGTGTGAAACCGCGCGGAAGTAGCTAGTAGTAGTATAAATGTTTTAAAGGCATGCGTAAAGACGACCACAGCCACTTGCGACCTGTCTCAGGTTTGGTTCCCGCATGGATCAATTATGTGTGGATTTTTTTCTAGAAAAATGTTCAATGTGAACAATAATGTGACCGCTTCGTTGGCCGAGTGGTCGCAAGTGCGACTGCCGGGCAAGGGGTCTCGGGTTCGATTCCCGGGTCGGGCAATTGGGATTTAAAAAAATCTCAGTATTAGCACGGAGTCTGAAAATGTGCCCGGTATATGTCAATAGGCTCACCCCCTATTACATGGGACTCATAACATCAATAGTGAAAAGTGGGTGTTACATTATACAGTGGCATTGAGTGCCGTAATGTGTACCTCTGCCTACCCCTTCGGGGATAAAAAGGCGAGATATTATGTAAAAATGTTCAATTGTAGCTAAATAAGTTTTAGTAATACCTTATAAGCTTTGATTTTGACATACTAAAACTAACACTACTGTTTTCACCTCTGCCTACCCCCTCAACAGAATAAAAAAGCGTAATGTTTATATTTACACCAAAGAAATGGACGAAAGCAAGTACAAGGAAATGTATCCAAAAGATTAGAAGTACGGTCAAGCATATAACAAGAACCTTCAAGTAGTTGGAAAATGACCCTTAATGCTTACAAAATAAGGACGTTTACATGTATCAAATTTTCACACTTCAATAACCATCACTTGATTTTTTAAATGAAACTTTAACTCGTTATAAATAGAGTCTAATTTACTATGAACAATGAAATTTTTTACGACCTTATCACTGCATTTTGATAAAGTAAAATCGACTGTGTTTCTTTAGGCATACAGTTGATATTTCTTTAACGGGGTATATGTTGCATTTTTATATGTAATGGATTTATGAGTATGTGCACTTAGGGGACCCCATAACATATAAAGTCTACTTATACCATACTGTGAAGTGAGGGATAATGTTATAATGGTCATCTTATGGGATATGGAATAAGGCAGCTATGGGTTTTTCGTGATTGCTTGACTTTGCGAAAGGTGCGAAACTTTGCGAAATTCGATTCTCGTGCAATATTAAAAGATTTTCTCTTAAAATAAGTCAGAAGTTGTTGTTTATAATTGTCTAAAGTTTTTTTTTTTTAATAGGACAAGCCCGCCACAACCTCCCAAAAACGCTGCAACTCCTGTAAGCCAGGATCTACAGTAGATACAACCATGAAAACACCGGAACACTGAAGTCCGGCGCGTCCCAGGGACATGAGTAACTGTCTTGGTTCCCGCAACGAAGTGAATCAGAAGATATTATAAGAGGAGAAGAAGAAAAAACTATAGTTTCCACTTTCCTCGGTGAATTACTGCAGGAGACAGAATGAATTAAGCCTAAAGTTAGAAAAGTATTGGGAACTTATAATCTGCAAATGCTGAATTTACTCGTCTCCTATGCTCCTATCATTCACTCTTCTCTGCGTCATCCAAAGGTCAGATTGAGAGAAAATGCCTGCAGCATGAAGACCAGCTAATATCCACTTTGTGCATGAAGCATAAATAAATACTTTTAACGCGTATGATTCATAAGACAAGAATCGAATCTTGAACAATTGTGCATAGCTACATGAAAGTGAACATTAGATCAACGAAAAGGTATATTTTGTAAATAATGTTAATTTGTAAATAATGTTTTGTAAATAATGTTTGTAAATAATGTTCTAAATAATGTTAATTAAATTGTATAAATCATACAATTTAATTAACATTATTTAGTTACCCAAATGATTATATGAATCGAAACCACAACGAAAACTAGCTAAAAAAATACAAAGGACCGACAATCAAACAGCCTGCGACAACCTGCAACACCTTACCCTCATGGCAAAACAAACCAACCGCACACCTATCAATTTCCAAACCTTAACCCCATCCGCTTAACCTCTCATTAAGGCGTTAAAAAATAAAACCTAGCCTTAAGCTAAATTCAGGTCTTTTCACTTCCTGAAGACAAAAAGCTTTTTAGAAAACTGAAAAATATACATACAAAAGGTCACTAAGAGCTGGAGAGTGTGTGATAAAGATGGCATGACGTGTTTCGTTTGAGGAGTGAAAGAGATGGCTAGCTGAAAATCAATTTATTAGTCAGTGACGTCACGTTGTACGCAGGCGCGTTGCGCTTCTACCCGGGATAGGGTTGCTGGGCGCGGGGAAATCTCCACCCGTTTGTGGGAAATGGGGAAAATTTATTTTTGTTGTTTTTTTTCTTGTACGATTTTATGATTCGTTGTGGTGGGTTAGTGGTGATGGTGATAGATTAGTGAGATAAATGGTAGTCACTGTTTTGGTATTTGTACGATCGTGGTGTTTTTTTAAAATATTCTAAATGAATACGATAAAGTTTTAAAGGTAATTTCTTGGGTTTAAAGTTTTAAAGTTTTTATTTATAATATAGATGATTACATTGTTTGTTCTATTAAGAACACATGCTCACTGTTAATCTGAAGATATATAAGGTTACAGAATAAGTAAGAGGCATTATGTTAATGTAATAGTCATTATTTCTTTTTGAATTGATTCGAGAATTGTATGATTCAACGTATATTCGTTTATTTACATACATTTCCAAAAGTAAGTAGTGCAAACATTATTTTCCACAGAATTAGGTGCTGCATTAAAGATTATTTGGCTTCTATTATAGTTTCCTTTTAGTCACATACCTAATGTAATCTAAAACGAAATTCTAAAATCAACAAAAAATATGCAATCAAACAATCTAAGTAAGCCAACGAATGCATTACATACAAGTAAACATCACAATCAGACTAAACACACAAAAATAGATCAAAAAACAATCACCAAGTATATTCGTAATTAAACTTTGCGTGTGGCAACACTGCGCTCATCTGGGCGGCCCGAAATAGTGGCACGAGGGGGGGCATCAGTACTCGCGGCGGTGCCGCTCACGCCGCCCGCGCCATGGCGTCCGTCGCCGCTTGGCTGCCCTTCGCTCGAGCAGCCGCCATCGGATGGGTTCCCATAGCCACACACCCACTACCGCCACCCCCAGTCCCCAAGGACCGGCGCCGCGCCGAAGACGAGAAGCTCCTCATCAACGTCTCTGGACGACGCTTTGAGACATGGCGGAACACCCTCGAGAAATATCCCGACTCACTCCTCGGCTCCACCGAGAGGGAATTCTTCTACGACGAGGACAGCAGAGAGTATTTCTTCGACAGAGATCCAGACATATTCCGCCACATACTAAACTACTACAGGACTGGCAAGTTGCACTATCCCAAACACGAGTGTCTGACGGGCTACGACGAGGAGCTGGCTTTCTTTGGGATCCTCCCTGATGTGATTGGGGACTGTTGTTATGAGGACTACCGTGACAGGAAACGTGAGAATGCTGAAAGGTTGATGGACGATAAGTTAAGTGAGGCGGGAGATCAGAGCCTGCCTCAACTGACAGACTTGCGGCAGAAGATGTGGCGCGCGTTCGAGAACCCCCACACTTCGACTGCTGCTCTGGTATTTTACTATGTGACTGGGTTCTTCATCGCAGTATCGGTGATGGCGAACGTAGTTGAGACAGTGCCGTGCGGCCACCGGCCCGGCCGCGCTGGGACCCTGCCGTGTGGCGAGCGATACAAAATCGTGTTCTTCTGCTTAGACACAGCGTGTGTGATGATATTTACTGCGGAGTACCTGCTCCGACTCTTCGCAGCGCCGGACCGCTGCAAGTTCGTGCGATCCGTGATGTCGATCATAGACGTGGTTGCCATCCTGCCGTACTACATCGGGCTCGGGATCACCGACAATGATGACGTCTCCGGCGCCTTCGTGACCCTGAGAGTGTTCAGAGTGTTCCGTATCTTCAAGTTCTCCAGGCACTCTCAGGGATTACGGATCCTGGGGTACACATTGAAGTCGTGCGCCAGTGAGCTGGGTTTCCTGGTGTTTTCGTTAGCGATGGCGATCATCATCTTCGCCACAGTGATGTTCTATGCTGAGAAGAACGAGCAAGATACTAATTTCACATCCATTCCGGCTGCCTTCTGGTACACCATTGTGACGATGACAACGCTGGGGTAAGTACTTGCACAGTCATTATAGATTTGTAAGGCAATCAAAGCTATTCAAAAGTATTGATCGTCCGTCATCGGTCAGCGCTGGAATGCATCAGTTACCATTAAACAAAATGTTGCGCATATCTGACACCTGTCGACGCCATTAAATATGAACGCGGGAAAATATGTGTCATGGCGTCGATTTGCCGTTTCGACACCGTAAAATGTTTAACTTGAAATTGACGTTTTACAACCGCTTTAATTCCGTGTATATTTCATCTGCAGAGCTGTATTGTTGGGATTTAGGGAGCAAACGTTGTGTTAGGCCCGAGAGAATACTGTGTCAGTAAATACGGTTGTGCGTGAAATGCGGTGTTTTTATTTAATTATTTTTGCTGTCGCTGCGGCTTGCGGGCTTTTCGTCCCTGTTTGACTTCGGAGAGATGAGATGAAAATATTTGAACTTGAGATATTCTTACTCACATATTCAATCAATAACGCGTACTTTAAATTCTATCAGTTTTAACCTATCGTGTTATAATGTGGAAGGTTCTTATTTTGTTGAATGTAGCCAACTTTTCAGTGACTTTCACTTTATTGGCTCTAAGCCTGAAAAACTTTGTAAGTATAATGGCTCATGCTCTATTAAAAGTGGAAAACTACAATTGTTAACACAGGAAAGGCATTTCCATTGGAATGTGGCTGCCAAAATGGATTGGATTGGTATTGGTGCAGATGAATGCAGGTATTCGTCTACTAAGTATTGTGGCACCTTTTGATATCATTTAAGTTTTTATTTGTATGCTTTGAGAAATGACTTCTCCCTTTAAATCACTTGAATAATGAACGTTTATACCTTCACAATTACAATTAGTTTCTTAAAATTACTTAGACACTTCCACTAAGTACTGTTTCTAGGTTTATTTAATTAACTATGTTCTATTTCGACAATTTTAATAGCAATGCAACTAAAACATTTATTATGAGTGATATTTGATCACTTGTATTCATTGCCACGAGTTAAGCAAAGACAGCGTTGCTAATTACATTATTGGGAAAATCAAAAGTAATAACTGGTTAACCAATGAAAGACATTAAGACATCTCAGAGAAAAAACTTACATACAAGAGGAAAATATGACTCAGCATAATATTCAGCGATTATCTGACTCTTCAGTTATATGTAAAAAACATAAAAAATCTTTTTGATCAGACGTTGTCCTACATCCAGACAATATATTTTTTTGACATTGACATCTTGTTGTTAGCCCTTTAGCCTCTAAAAAGGCTCACAGAGATGTCAATCTGTCGGGGGATACATGTCTATTTATCCGAATGTCAAGATAGAAATACGAAATGTTTTTTGTTAAGGCTAAAGTACAGGTAATCTGGTCTTTGAAATAATTTTTTTCTTTGATTTTGTTAAGCGTATGTTACTTACGATTCATTAATTTTGAAAGATATGCACATACGACAAAATACGTTGTTGCAAATTCTATTGATCTGTTATATTTTCCAATTTCAAAATCTACAAGCACAGACCCGATTTTTGTGCAAATTCGTTTAAAAATACATCGGATGAAGCAATAACTTGACAACATAGTTTGTCAAAGAAATAAGTGTAAGACACAGAATACTATAGTTTTTACTTTTCCTTCTTATAAAAATTACATCGACAGCGACACTGCTAGACTATGTACTTCCTCTACAATTCAAAGTCAAAATCAAAGCATTTATTTCAATTAAACCATAATTTGGTACTTTTGAAATGTCAATAAATACATAATAAATAATAGTCTGTCAGTCAGTCCGTCAGTGAAGCTAGGTGAAGCTAAAATTGCTGCTCATTCTAAAATGTAGATTCAAATGGAGAAGAACGAGCAAGAAACTCCATTCGTTACTCTTTTTAAAAAAGTATGTTCTATAATGTCTCTGATACATATTCTAGTACTGTACTTATATGTGAGAACAATGCAAAGTACATTTATACCTAATGCCAAACGTTTACCGTAGCCTATGTACGTTTGCAACTGATGCAATACATGCGCTATGCTTTACTACCCCAAACAGAATTTTTATAATAAATAACATAACGTTACAAACGCTTTACTTATTTTCGCATAGTAAACACCTGACCTACTCATAAAATTCAGCATAAAAACCTTTCAGCGCACTCTGACAGCCGGATGCACGTCATACGTCAAGCTAGTTTGACAGTTCTCAGTAAAGCACTCAATCTTGATTGACGTTTATGTCAGTATGTGGGATGTGAAGATTTTTAGTTTAAGGGGCCTTCAGTTTAGATAAAATGGAATTAAATTACTTTTTAGTAGCGAGAAGTGGTTGTTAGAGTGGAGTGCTGTTTGATTTTTGGGTCAGATTAAAGTTTTGTGAATTGTGTTTTTTGATTTTGTGGTTTGTAGTATTCAAAGTCAAAGTCAAAGTCAAAATCATTTATCAATTAGACCAGAGAGGCACTTTTGAACGTCAATAATAAAATTAAAAGTGAAGCTATTTGCTCATTCCAAGGTCTACATTCCTATGGAGAAGAACGAGCAAGAAACTTCATAGGTTACTCTTTTTCAATCAGGTTCACAATACAATTCTCTAGTTACATAGTTTGCTGTTTGGATTGGATTATTGATGCGAGCACGATGTTTTGATGATAAGAACGACGTGTTCCATCGTAGACCGCATCATCGCTTACCACCAGGCGACATAGTGGTCAAACATCGACCCATCAAATATATATAATAAAAAAAAGAATGCCATTACTACTGCTTTTGAAAAATAGTAGATTAGCTTCAGAAAATAATATTATATTGGCATTGATAGCATTAATACTCATCAATGGATAACTAGAAAAAGTATTTTGACAGAAAATCATCTGAAATCAACATTATTAAGCCTTTGACTGCTGACAGAAAACTGTTAAGGGGAAATTCTCCGCTATCGTGGCCCATACCTGGTCTCCCATGGCGTTCAAGGTGTTAAATAAAGACTTCTTTAAGGTTATAAAGATACAACATTTTAGATTGAATTTGTTCAAAATCGATAAAACACCTAAAATTTTAGTAGAAAATATAAAGCATAGACAGCCTTGCTACGGCGTAGATATCTTTGCTACGGCGTAAGCGCTGGCTACGACGCAGGTTTTAATAAATTATTTTTGCTGAAGCCTATAAAATTGTAGTTCGATTCTATCTTCTTTTTACCCGACTAGGGCGAAGGTAAAAAGAGTATGTATTGGACATTTGAAGTGGCTCATATTAATTTTAATAAAAACTTGGCAAAATAATATTATGTTACTTTGTACCAATTGCTGCATAATAAATTTTAGTAGTTAAATAGGATTTTTGTTCAGCTTCTAGATCGAGAAAAATAAGAAATCTAATTGCACTTTTAAGTATTTAACTTGACTTTGATGTTAGTATTAAGGTTAACTGAAAGAATCCTGAAATAGTTCACCCTTCTTATCTCCAAAACCAACCACTGAAAACGGTTTCAGCTATTTATAACACAGGTTCTATTTATAGACCGCCATTTTTACTTGGCCTTGAGTGACGAAAACATGACACCGTGATGCTCTGAGTTCGAATCCGAGCTTGTACAAATATGTTATTCAAATATATGCACATAGTTTAACATAAATGGTTAAATCCATGCGAAATGAAATTATTAAGTTTGTTGGTGGCTGTTGATCTAGTGATCGGATTTGTTGGTGGGGTCCTGAGTTTGATTTCCGTCTTGTGTATATTTTAAAAGGTTTGCGTGTCAATTATTCCTTAATGATTTTTATTGTTTAAACATGTTGGTTTTTTAATGATGAGTGTAGAGTTCCTACAGAATTTGATAGGTCTGATGTAATAGGGATGATGACAGGGTATCAAAATTAAAAATGTAATTAGTCCGTCAGTTAGGTAATGAAAAAATATTAGACACGTATTTTTTTATTTTGTCGTATAAGAAAACAATACTTAGATAAAACGATTCAAAGTTTAGGAGTGGGAGGTAGCTACGTCATTTTAGCGTATAAATCGTTCTTAAAAGTGACGTCATGTGATATTTCAAATCAATATATCTTCGAAACTATTCGTTTCCGTAAAAATATAAAAATACGTGTCTAATGTTTTTAAATAATCTACCAGACGGACATTAAAATAAAAATTAGTCATCTATCCTGTTGTAGTTGTAGCGGAGAACCTAACGGGTAACCGGGGCTCCGGCTCGACGTGCAGGAGAAGGAACGGGGTGGTTTTTAGTCAGTAAGAGTCTGACACTCCCTCCTGCCTCGCCCAGGCGGGAGCAGCCATTCGTAGATTTTCCCCCCTTAAAAAATCCTTCAATTTTGGTTTTCAAATTCATTGACTAAATATCTCAACTAATAACGTAGTACATGAGTCTTCTACCTACCACTTCTAAAACAGCTGTCGTGATATTTTCTATATGACATTATTTAAGATAACGTCCCAAATTCCTATAAAATACAAATTCAAAACCATAAACAAAACTTTAGTGGTACTGATATCCGTTTCCGTGATTCTCATTTTACTGCAAATAAAAGTCATAAAAAGTATTGCAATAAAATACGGAATCGAATCTTGGTACCGCTATAGGTCAATCGCACTTCGTTCTGTTGAATATAAATCAGATTATAAAAACTTGTTAATGTTTTGACAAAACGCCTTTTTTGAAGCATAACATCACGCCTTTTATCCCCGAGGAGATAGAGGTGCACATTACGGCACTTAATGCCACTGTACAATGTAACACCCAGTTTTCACTATTTATGTTATGAGGCCCACATGGGCCTATTACATAATAGGGGATGAGCCTATTGCCATATACCGGGCACATTTCTACACTTCGTGCTACTACTGACATTTTTAAAAACCCAGTAATACTTTGTTGCAACCCGAGAATCGAACCCGATACCCTTTGCCCGGTAGTCGCACTTAATAATAATTTATATTTTATATAATATAAAAAAAACCTAATGTTAAAATATTATTTTATTGAACTAAATAGACATGTTTAAGCATAGTACCTATGTCGCGGCGAACCTAACTGGTTACCGGGGCTCCGGCTCGACGTGCAGGAAAAGAAACGGGGTGGTTTTTTGTCAGTAAGAGTCTGACATTCGATGATTTTCCCCCTTAAAAAAAGCATAGTACCTATGTATATCTACTTATACCTTTCTTTTAATAAAACAACAACAATACATACAAACGTATGTAGATATTGTCCCTATTTCCGCATAACAAATACAGCGAAAGAACCAACAAACAAACAAGCATACAAACTAATATATGCTGAGAGAAATATG